ATCTAATTTAACTAAAATTTATGTTAAAATTGTTTTTGGACAAAAATGCCCTTGGTCGGCTAGAAATTTCGCCGGCCGGTGGGGTGAGGCCTCTATTTGAAAATTTTATAGCCACTTCAAGTCTTTATTTGAGAAAATAAGTCTACTTCAAGCCCTTATTTGACACAAAGTCCACTTCAGCCCCTTATTTGATAAAATGAGAGCACTTCGGGTCCTTATTTAGAATTTTTCCTTCGATTAATGGTAAATATTAAACAGTGCATCTATATACTTATTAAGAGTTACTAATTATGATTTGTAAATATAAACATTCCTATTTCAATCTATTGCTTTCTTGAAATATATGCTTGTTCAATTTTCAAAATGTGTTAATATGGGGTTTTACTATATTTAGAAGTTCTAACTAGTTTCCCTGATATACTGGTTAAGAAGACAAATCAGCAATATAGAACGGAAAATTAACGTGCAACAATCGTGTTCTCCTTAGATCCTCAAAATTATAAGGACTATTGTTGTGACGCTTCTAAATTAAAATACTCGAGATATTGTTCGTTTTGGTCCATTTCATACCTAATTTCACGATTTTTCCTTTGGTGTACAATTGAACACTTTCTCAAGAGATCACCTATTATGATACTTCTTTCACCTGAGCACTCTAAACATTGATTTTACAATGCTAAACCTAGTCGTTTTATTAAAAGGTACCTCTTGCGAGTTGACTCCATAAGGCTCGGTGTACAATTCAGTTCATTTATGTTCTTTTGCCATCCTAGAAACATGTCAGGAGCCGTTTCTTGTTTGAACCCTGATGCCGGAGCATTCCCTGAAGACGTCGAGCATGCAAGAGAGTTGCTAGTCTAATGGACTAGCCAAGGATGATCTAACAAGTTGCCAATTTGCAAGCCTATTGTTGAATTCCATGTCTAATCGATTACAACGCGTTCGGAGTTTGTTCGCATTCCATGAAGGCCGTTAATTTAGTCTTTGGAACTAGCAAACCATGGAGACCCCCAACAGACTAAACTTATTTCCCATATTTTTAAGGTCTAGCAAATATCGTTCAAGTTTCTAAAGTCCTTATTTAATTATGGTTTGTTGCGACCTAAAAAAAAATCGGGTTTTCGATCTTAGGCTAATGGATTACTAGATCAATTAAATTAACTAACCTAGCTCGAGTTCTCCCAAACTCTACCAAATCGCAACTTCGGTCCAATTGTGAGCATGCAAATATTTTTTATGGGAGTCGCCACTAATCATTTAAGGTAGGTTGATTAGAAACCTAAATAAAATAGCGGGAGTACTATTTTATTTCTGCGAACCAGAAATTATAAATTCGGGGACTTGGTTACGCTAGATTCCCTAACGCCCTTTCGGTACAAATTTCAAGAGAAATACTCAATTGGACAATTTTGATAAATCCTGACTTAGAGTTCAAAGGTGCAGAAATTTTCTTTTTTGATTTTTTATTTATTTAAATGAAAGCTAACTTATATGTAATGACGTGCAAAAATTGACATGTGATTAATGCAACCTAACATGCAAACTATATGTCATGCGACGACGTGATCTATTTCTAATGACGGGCATATTATTTTTTTTTTTGTATTTTTTCTTTAATGAAATTCGGAATTAAAAATGCCAATTATCTAAACATGCAATTTTAAACTAAAGAAATTAACCTATTCTAGAGTAATCTTTTTGGCATTTTTTTTTTATCAAAATTCGAACTTAAAATCAAGTAAAAAATATAACCGCTAAATCTTTCGAATTAAGTTTCGATCTGAAGCCTGACAGATCCATCCTAAAATTCGAAATACCCTCTATGGAAATAACTCTATCTAAAGCCTGATTGATAGATTTATTTCCACGTGTGCGGTTGCGGATTAGGAAATTTTCCTAATCGATCACATCTTGAAAAAAATTAGATATCTTAAATATCTTGGATATATTCAAAAGATTTTGAAAATTCTAAATTCTATCCAAATTTGAAAAGTAAAAGATATCCAAGATTTCAAAAAAGGAAATAAAATCCTAATTGAAATAATGCTTATTATCCAAATATGCAAAATTAGATATCAATAAGCACAAATTAGGTAACCAAATATTCGAATCAAATCGGGATATGATAATTACCTGATTTGCAGATTTCTTTCCTAATTTGAATCTGTAGCGGATCGGGATTGCGGATCGGCGGTGCGTCGGGAGCGGCGGCGTGACGTCGGGAACAATGGCGGCTAGCGACGGTGACACGACGGGAACGGCGGCGCGGCGGGCGTCTCCGGGCAGCGGCCAACAAAGCGGGACGGGCGACTCTCCCGGCGGGCAGTGCCGTAAGCAGCGGCAGACAGCGGTGGGCTAATGGCGGTGCAGGCGGCTCCCGGGCTGGCGAGCGGCGGTGCGGGCGGCTCTCCGGCCGGGCCGTGCGGCTAACGGCAGCGGCGACACAAAGCGGCGGGCTTGGGATGTCCCGGCGGCGGTGGCACCGCGCGGCAAGGGTGTGCGACGAGGCAGCCGGCGAGCGTGCGTGCGCGCGGTGGCACACGGCGTGAGAAGGCAACGCACGGCAGGAGGCAGCGGCGGTGGCACGCGGCGACTGAGGGGCGGAGTAGCTCCGGCGTAGTGCGGCAAGCGGTGGCGCGGCAGGCGTGCAGTGTGGCGCGGCCGGCGGTCTCCTTCCCTCTCTCTCTCACTCTTCTCAAAATTCTCTCGTATGTCTCTCTAAAAATCCGATCTGAAAAATTATGAGAGCCCCCTCCTTGATTATGAGACATAAACATATATTTATAATGTAAACCTAGGTCAATTAGCCGGGCTTTCTAGTCCTAATGGGCTTAGGTTTAGGCTTTAATTTAATTCTAAATGGGCTGAATTAATTTGGGCTTTTCTTTAATTAAGCATAATGGGCTAATTTAAGCTCAAATTAAGACAACCAAGCCCTTTTGTGTGTGATTTTCGGCCCATGCTTTCCGAGTGAGCCGAATCTCGTTCGGTGCCCGAGCTCGATTTACGTGATGAATTTTAAGCTCGCTTACCACCGCCGATCCGATGCGAAATGCAGTTAATCTATATGAACCTAAACTTTATGCTATGCGATTTGTAATATTTTTGTTCAGGGATTAAAATTTAATCCCTAATTTTCTATGTAATTAATCACTAAATGATGCGTCGAAATTTAGGTGTCAACATGGTTGTTTTCTAGTAAATCTTGTTGTCTTTCCTATGAGTCTTTTGTCTTTCTTATGAATCTTCGCAATTACTCATGCTTGGAGGGTTGTTCCATGCTAATCTATATAAGCATGTTATGATGAATAATAGAAGAAGACTTGATTGATTCATAAATTATTTGAGCCTTTAGCTTGACAACAAGAAGTTTTCTTGTTTTGCTCTTATCCCTTAGGTGGATTCCGACGAGTGGCGAGGATTGCTCTTATCTCTTAGGTTAATTACCTACGAGTGGTGAGCAACCTATCTATTTAAGTTCTTACTTGTTTTACCTCCTACTTCTCTACACTCTTTCTAGCATCAAATTGGTATTAGAGCAGGGATCCTTCCAATAGGTGGGTGATTCGTGGAAAGCCTGTGGTCTTCCCGGTCCTATGAGGGCAGAGAATAAATCGCCGGGGCTAAGAGAGCTCGAACAACGTGCAGATCTCATCTAACTTGTAGGATGGCAATGGGCCACAGGGTGAAATTGAATTGCTCACTAGTGGGTTAGACATGCCATAAAACAAATGCACTTAACAATTTGGTAGCAAAAGTTCACATCAATACATATATATATATATATATGTATGTATGTATGTATGTATATTTCTCATTAGCCGGTCACCAAAACCATAATATGTACACGTGCACCTCAGTGTTGAATCAAACGCTCTCTGAGCTAATAAAAACTGGGGTCACAATATAAAACTTTTCAAATATACACGTCCCTGCCCTCGCCTTTGCCGGCAACTAGCGACCTCCACCGGCCATTGCAGAGGCTGTCGAACAGCAAAGGGAAATAAGGAAAAAGGAAAAAAGAGAAAGGAAAAAAAAGGAAAGAAAAAAAGAAAAAAGGGCAAAATATTCAGAAATTTTTTAAAAAAATTGTAAAAATCGTCAACGTTAGTGATTTCCGATCAAAATTAGTTGGAAGAAGTAAATTGGCAAATAATCGAAAGGTTTAGGATTAAATTGACCAAAATAAAAGGTTTACAACCGAATTTGTACAAGTGCAATGGATTTGGGACCTTTTTTATAATTTCCCCGCCAAAGCATCGCTCACAAGTTCAAATAATGCACTTCTCCTTTTTCCTTTAATTTTTTGGGATGACTGTAACTTTTTCGCTGCTATTACTATTCTGTTTGTTTTCCTGTGTATTATCACCAACTTGATTTGGATACATTCATGTCCTATTTTTCATGTGTAGGGCACTGGTTATATGCAAAGAGAATTCTCAAAGGATAAGTCATATAGATATTGTTCGTCGGTTCCAATATATTACCTTAAGTTCTTTACAGAAAACATATAAAATTTTTGTAAAATATTCCTTACGCAACTTCCAAGTCAAAATTAGCCACGTCGTTTTTACTGTACGAGGTTTAGCAAATTTTATGTTATATATCTGCGCATCATCCGTGTGTGTATTTCCCATTTAAAATCTGAAAATAACACAAAAAACTTCTGTCCTAGTACTTTTCCTGGCCACAACATAATATAACATTGGGGAAGATTGAGAAGAAAGGAGTACAGCAGAAAACTGGATTATCATGCAACAGGCAACGCGTATGATAGCTGATGCATATTTTCGGAATAATTAGCAAGTTGATTTCTAAAGAAACCTCCTTTTTTATTTAATGATTACATAGTTCAATTCCAAATTGACAGATGATTTTATACACACCGAGCAGAACCATTTCCAGAGAAACTGAAGAATAACATTTTGGGACATGAGACCTAACTGAACCAGAATTGACAGGCTTACACAACATAGCTTCGACTTTCTATTTTGAAGTATTTAGGCTTTTGGTTCCTCATTCTTGCTTTCAAAAACATGGCCGACACCAGGGCTGTGACCTGGTTTAGTGGATTCGAAATCGTCTGGTGTCCCCATAACGGTTAGCCTTTCCTCAACGTGGCTCGGAGCTTTCGGTCGAACAGCTTCCTTCTTTAAGCCAACGAAAGAATGGCCCACTCCCGGGCTGCTCCAGAGGTTCATGGGGTGGAAATCATCCTTGTTCACTGCCTCTGACTTGCCCGAATCGACCACCTGATCTTGCGCTGTAGGTGAAGGAACCGTTTTCTTACCCGCATCAGAACGATCATCAATCCTAGGAGACTGACTCGGAGTGAGAAATCGTGATGCTTGTTCATGCATTTGGATTTTGTTATTTATTGAACGGAATTCATCCTTCCATGCCGATTTTATCGACCTTCCCTCGGAAGTTAAAATTGCATGGAACGCAATGAAGGTGAAGATGATCGCGAATCTTGATATTACTTGGAGGTCAGCCATGGCCAGAGAAGTGTAGAAGAGGAAGCTTAGGCGAGCAATGAGAAGAAATGGGTAAATTGGAATATAGTCAACTGAATGAGAAGACACATGAACTCTGCATTACTATTTATAGGCTTGAGAGACGATGACTTTTTGAGAATCTTAACCCACTGACCAATTCCATATTAAACTATGTATACGGACCTCATTGGGGTTCTTCTTCTTCGTGGTTGGTGTTATTGCCATATAATCACTCAAAGTGCATCTTACACTAGTATATATTATGTCCACTCTCTCTCTCTCTCTCTCACTTCTGTCAATGTTGTTTCTTTAAGGCTTCGTTAGTCGTCTGAATTTCCAACCAGAATAGCACTATAGAATATGAAATCTAGGGATTTTACTACATCATATCCATTATTTGCTGAATCACAATGTTAAAACCCGATATTTTCACATCCTATCATGTCCATTATTTGATATAAACGATATATTAATCTAAATGAACCTAAAAATTACACAAACGGAGATGGTAAAAATCTCTTATGACACTCTTGCCTAATTCATTTTTATTTGCCTATTTTTTATTATTTTTATCTCTCTTCTTTTATACTTTTCTTTTTTCCCCTTCCATCATACTCTAATAAAATTTTATTAATTAGTAAATTATACTAATACACATTAAATACAAAAAATACCTAAAAGTATGGGATACATATTAATACTAAATATATATATTGAATTTATATCATAAGATAGAAATATTTCAAATATATATAAATAGGAATAAATAAAAACGAAATTTTGTTATTTTGAAATTTTGATTGTATTCAAATATTATCTTAATTTTATTAAAATTTAAGAGTTCGTTATTCGGGCCTATCTCACCTCCTCATGTAATAATTTTATCCGGATTATATCACTCTTATATTCTATTTTTGTTGGGAACAAAACTCCATCCCCTATCTCTATCCCCCCTATGTTATCCCCCCACGTGTGAGCTCATTGTTAGGTCTTGCTCCTCTATTTTTCTGTCCTCCCTAATCCAGGTATTCTTCTATATCAAGATATTTCAGCTTGAATATCCATAAACGCCCAACTCCATCCTCCTTAATCCAAGTATTCTTCTGTATTAAGATATCTCAGCTTGAATCTCCATCAACGCCCAGCTCCATCCCCAGCTCCCCTCCCGTGTGAGCTTAGTGTTAAGTCTTGCTCCTCCATTCTTCTGTCCTCCTTAATCTAGGTATTCTTCTATATCAAGATATCTTAGCTTGAATCTCCATCAAGGCCCAGCTCCATCCCTTATTTCTTTCTCCGGGATGAATATTGAAGTCTACCATCGGGCCTTGTTATGCCACCACGCCTACCGCCCGAAAACCGGGTTGATCACTAAATTCATTCCTTGAGATATTTAACCAAACACTAGAACAAATTGGAAGCTTACTAATTTACCATCGGCTCTAATACCAGTTGTTGGGAGCACGCAACAGAAACCGGATACCTTCACCCGGGGATATTGTCAAGAGAGAGCCCAAGTTTGAGCCCGTCAACATACCCAGTCAACCCACATTTATTCAAAAGTTTAGTCAATGAGTTATGAGCCAACTAAGATATATTAATTGCTTCACACTGTACCAATTCTCTAATACAACTCACATTTGCAATCTAACAATTTTATCCTGTCTTGAGCACGCATCAAACACAGATTTGGATACCTTGAATTTTATTACAACTACCGAACATAGCTTTTTACTTCATCACTTATATCATTGATAAACCCAGAACAAAAAAGTGCTCGCGCAGACTTTTGACGATATTAATATACCATTGTAACATCTCCACCAACTAAAACTGGACGGTGCTTGTTTTGACCTTTTGATTGTGGTGAAGAAAACCTTCTTTTGTAGTTTATGAATATCCTCAAGGGCAGGTAATATGACAACTATCGTTCTTGGTTGACCTCGTTTCCTGGTTTCCAAAAGAATTTTTGGTGCTTATATGTAAGGAACATAGGATAGCCAATAATAAGTACCAATCCACCATGAATTTAAATTGTGAGAAAGATACATCAGGTTCAAGCATATGAAAAAACGATCTTGCACGTTGCTCTTACTTTTCCCTACTATAGAATTCATCTAACTTAAGTAAGAGAAGATTCCTTGATGATAAATTATGGAACTTGACACTTGTGAATGTGTAGGATGGCCAACGATGATCGGATTGCCAACGATGATCGGATTGCCATTTCAGATGAATCAGGCAAGACTTGGCCGAGTGAATTTAATTGCACTTTCATTTAAAGGTTTAGGATTATATTGGTTCAATTAAAAAGGTTGAGAACTCGAATGGTTTCCATACTATAAGTTAAGATTTTTTATGTGTGTGATTTGGATGTTTTGATCAGGGATTTGAAATCCTTGTTAAATTAAACCCTCCTTATAATAAGTGGGACATATCAAGAGGTCAAAGGATTTAGCATATAGATGAACCATAATAAGCAAATTTGCGCTTCCCCACCGCAATCTATAGGCACCAAACATATTAGGTATTCTCTGTACTCTCCACTTAGAATAGAAGAGTATAAAATGTTGACGGCTCGCGTGCATGCTCAAACCATTTTCTTTGGTCGACAAGTTCAAGTGAAATACCAAATGTCTCTGTCCTTTGTTGTTTGACCCTTCACTTTCTCGATGGTTGTCATCATTAAGCTTTTAAAATTGGTTTAGAATGTGCATGCTTAGCCGCCAAAAAGGCATATAAGATTCTTTTGTTTGATTGCTAATAAAATAAGGATATGTCTTACCGAATGTTTTCAAGACCCCGATCAAGTATACTTAATTTAGTTTCTTAATGAGTGTGTCCCTGGATTACATTTACAAAACTCATAAAATAAAGAATTATGCTCCGTATACTAAAATTCATTCGTTAAGTTGTGAGGTGAGAATAGCATTTAAGTAGATCAGTGGGTGATATTCAATATCCAACAAAACTCTGCCACATCACTTTGTGTAATTTTTAGTAGACCATTCTTAGTAAATCTAACTTTATTCTAACAATAAATAATTCTTTAGCAGTTGTAATCGTGACTTAATATTCAGTTTAACAGGTTGGGGCATTGAGTCGTATTTAAAGGACATTTCAGTTGGAAAAGCAGACGATTTTCAGAGTCTGGAAAAGGTCGGTTTCTGCTAAGGAAAATGAATTTATGTTGCAGAAGCACATGAAAGTCGAAACCCTTGTTTAATCCATGCACCACCGTCCCAGTAAAGTCGACTCCCCGTTGGAAATTATTCCAACTGCTTGAGACATCGTACGAGATCACAACATAATTTTGTCCAACTTAATATGTATTAACAATTGTTTATACCCATCCTCTTACATGAAATATTCTCTACGTAGTCAGAACCACTTGATGAATAAATTAAATGACCATTCTGACACCGTTAACCTGTCTCCTTAAAGTGCTTGCTTAAGTAAAGGAAATACGATTGAGAAATGTGTGAAGATGGATTTTTTGCGTTAAGCATTTAAAATCAATACATTTCATTTAGTTTTACTATCTTGGAAATACGAATCTTGTATTTATGACTAGCAAGAAAAATCATTAATTTAGGAAAAAAGAAGGAAGAAGAATTCGGCTTATTTGACTAAATGAATTTTAAGCAGTTGTAGGATGTGGGAGATATAAAATAAATTTTAAAATCTACGAGAGATTTGTGCAATCATATCATTGTTATGTGGGTCATTATAGATCACCATTCATTCCATTGTTTAAATAGGTATGATCATTATCCATCTTTACCGCTAGTAGATATTAAAAGAATATTTGGGCAAAGTTTGAAGTTGAAAATGATGTTGAGATTGTTTTGTTGTATAGAGATGATAATGCTTAACAAGAGCCTTTAAATGCCTATGAACTGTTAGGTCCAAATAAGCAATCAAGAATAGGGTGCATCGATTTTTCAAGAAAATACAAATTAATCTTTTAGAACCAACCCCTATAAAAGTATTGCTTCTACCTGCAAAATGAACTAGCACTATAGACATCAGAAATTAAAGAGTTTAGAGAAAGATCAATTGCAAATGAGATTTATGGAAATTCGGCTTAGGTGTGCCTACTTCTCTCTTTTAGCTCTAACAACCCAAATAGGCTGGATCCCACTAGTTACTACAGGAGTACAAATACCGCCTTGTTAAAAATGTAGAACAGTTGCCACATGGAACCTGATTTCCGTCCATAACAACCTTGGTGTAGCCTGAGTAACTATTTGTCGTGACCCGCCGAATTTTTCCTCTGAAGGGGGAAGATGCGGCGTAGCCTGGTATGCGCCAAGTCTAGATCGAAACTTAACTTGGGCTTTCCCAAGCCCATACCATATCACGACTTGTGGTTTAGGTTTTTAGCCTGTAAGTAATTTTTATCTAGGAGTCGCCACTAATTGATTTAAGATGGGTCGATTAGAAATCCAAGTAAGGTGACGGGAGAATCACCCTACTCCTACGAACCAGAGATTAAATGAGTTTGAGGACTTGGTTACACTAGTTGAAATACTAATGCATTTTCGGTACCTTTTTACCCTGTTCATTTCAAAAAATATTTGTTAGGCAATTTGAATTAACTTTAAGACCTATCTTCTAACATGTGAGGTGATCAAGCGAGTGCACAATCATTAATGATTATCAATCAAACTAGATATGCAGCCTAGGGTTCTAACTCTAACTAAGGCGACAATATTCAAAACATGAAAATTTATGCAATTATATTATAATTAGGAACAACATGCATAATAATAATACAACAGTAGTAAAAATAAAACACAAAATCCTACCATATAGTCCTATAAGCTTATCTGATTTAAACATGATTATTAATCAAAATAATTCACCTAATTTAGAAAAATATTCAAAAATACTAATTTCTAAGCTATTTTCTAATTAAATTTTTTATCACTTTATAATAATAATAATAATAATAATAATAATAATAATAATAATAATAATAATAAAATTTAAAATATTTT